TGTTCTTCCCTAAAAACTTGTGATCAAAAGGTTCCCCCCCCCCCCCCCGTCGACACTCCTGGCTGCTGCAATCAAACAGAATTTAACTTCCCATCAGTAAATAGCTTTCTTTGCTTGGCTAACCAATGAGCCATCCAGAAAGTCACTTTTGCACCCTATTCTCATTTCTTGTGTGCGTGTGAATAAATTCTTCCGTGAAGAGATAATGTGTTTAAAGTTTTCTGGTTATTCTGACTGTTGCCTTCCTGTGTGACAAGGAGTACTGTTGATTTTAGCACAGCTAACGTGTCATTGCATAATAAACACGATGCTTTGCCGAGTAATTGTATAACAAAATAATCCACACTCCACTGTGCCTTAAAAGCACAACCAAGTTTACTTTTTAAACTTTTTTTGTCATTATGAATATGCACTAGTAATTTTAAAAAGTAATAAAATACCTGTATGACCATATGTGTGGGACTTGAACTGCTGCCAAGTTAGAACCATCACTAAGATTTGCAGTACCGCAAAGCAGTGGAAGTGCCACATACGGTCTCTGTCACAGCTGTTCAGTTCTGCCTTTGTCGCATGAGAGCAGCCACAGACAGTATGTAAATGAATAGCATGGCTGTGTTCCAATAAAAGTTTGTTTATAGACACTGAAATTTGAATTTCATATATATATATTTTATGTGTCATGAGATACTCTTTTGTTTTTTTCCTACTAGCTGTAAATGCAAGTACCAGTCTTTGTGGACTAAACAAAAAAAGGAAGTCTGTCAAATTGGGTTTGCAGACCATAGTTTGCAAACGTCTGTTAGAGACCACAGTGGCAATGTTTGTATGTTCAAGGTACAATCTAGTTTTTTTTTTTTATCTGATTAGATAAAACCATCTACCAAAATATGACCTTTCTTCTCTTTGTAAAAGAAAGGGGCATTTTGAAGTAACACCAGTAATTAAAATGTCAAAGAAACTGCAAAGGCAGTGTGTATGAGAGTCAGAAATAAAGCAAGTGAAGTAAATCTGGCTCCTCACGGCCCCTAGGTGTTGAAGCTGTGTAGCCACAGAGTGAATTTTGGAATCCAATTTGAATCCAGACATTTCCAGTTTGGAAACATTTGGCAAGTCATTTGACTTTTTATCTTTAGTTTTTTCACCTCAAATAGGAGATCATGCCTACTGTGCAGTGCTGTTCTAATAACTGGTGATAATTTTTGTAGTAACTCTCAATTCAAGGTATCTTTTGCCATTACCTCGGTAGTCAAGTGTTAAGCGACAGCTTGATTTCTCATACACCGTGTGTGCTTAAACCGAGCAACACCTTGATTTCTTATGCAGTGTATATGCTTCTGCTTTGGGGGACAAGAATAAAACCTAGTGT